AAAAAAAAAAAAAAAAAAAAAATCATGTATTTGATTATCTTCTTTACTGTAAGTTAAAAAAAAGGGGGGCACTACATTATAATACAATGTTTTATTCTAGCACCACTGTTTGGCTAATAGGAGGCACCCAAAGTATCTGAATGAGTAAGAATACATCTGACTCTTTTCCATTAACTCTTAAAACATACTTTATCCAGCCCGAAGTTTTATGGACATTTTAAGTTCTCCAGAAGTCATTTTTAAAAGATATAACGGGGGGGGGGGGGGGGGGGGGGGGGGGGGGGGGGGGAGGTGCCTGGGTGGCTCAGTTGGTTAAGCTTCCAACTCTTGATTTTGGCTCAGGTCATGATCTCACTATTCGTGAGACTGAGTCCCTGCTTGGGACCCTCTCTCCGTCTCTCTCAAAAAACAGAAACAAAAACAAACAAACAAACAAAAAAACAGCTTAAAAGATATAACATCAACTACTGCAGAAACTGGTGTTAAATTGGAAGGTCTAAACTGCACTATGGGGAACTGTCTCTCACTCTTAAGTAGTGTATTATACAGCTCACGTGGGCATGCAGGGGGGGCATCAGCAGGCAGGATTCCCAGACTTACCTTGCTGTGAGGGTCAGCAAACATTCGAGTGAAGATCTCACACAGTCTTTTCAATTCTACTCGACTAGAGGAAATAAAATGGAAAGAAATGAACTTGGAATTTCATGAATCAACACTGAGATTAGTGACAGCTTTTGTTTTTTCTGTATTTTGAGAAGGGGAGGCGTAGAGAGAGGGGGCGATTGAGAATCCCAAGCAGGCTCTACACTGTCAGCGCAGAGCCCAGTGTGGGGCTTGAATTCACAGACCATGAGATCACGACTTGAGCCGAAATGAAGAGTCGGAGGCTTCACCGACTGAGCCACCCGTGCACCCTGTGACAGCTTTGTAAAAAATAATTTTTATGTTGGGGCGCCTGGGTGGCGCAGTCAGTTAAGCGTCTGACTTCAGCCAGGTCACGATCTCGCGGTCCGTGAGTTCGAGCCCCGCGTCAGGCTCTGGGCTGATGGCTCAGAGCCTGGAGCCTGTTTCTGATTCTGTGTCTCCCTCTCTCTCTGCCCCTCCCCCGTTCATGCTCTGTCTCTCTCTGTCCCAAAAATAAATAAACGTTGGAAAAAAAAAATTAAAAAAAAAAAATTTTTATGTAACAGGGACGCCTGGGTGGCTCAGTTGGTTGAGCTTCCACCTTTGGCTCAGGTCATGATCTCGTGGTTCATGGGTTCGAGTTCCACATGAGGCTCTGTGCTGACAGCTCAGAGCCTGGATCCTGCTTTGGATTCTGTGTCTCCCTCTCTCTCTGTCCCTCCCTTGCTCACACTCTGTCTCTCTCTCTAAAAATAAATAAACACTAAAATTAAAAAAAAATTTTTAAAATAATTTTTATATAACAAAGTTTTTTTCACAAATAAATTAACTTATTTAAGTCATGATGAAATTAAGTAGAAATATAAAATCATGATAGTTGAGCTCTCATCTGAAAACGAGGAAACAATCTTCCAGAGTGACTGCTGAAGTTCACACACATGGGGGAGGCAAAGCCATGAGCTAAACCCCACTCATTTGAGGTCTGTCTTCCACCTGCCACAGATGAAACTCAATGAGATAAACTAGGAAAAGCATGGTGGTTTGGGGTCAGACAGACCTGGATTTTAATCTCAGTTTTGCTACAAAGTACTCAGATGTCTTTAGATCTGTATCAAACAAATGACTACAGGGAGGGTTAAGGAGAGAACACACTTCCTTCCTACAGCTACTGAGACAAAGCAAATGTTCATTTCCTGTTAGTGCCCTTTTGCTTTTTCTTATCCTTATCTATACCACTGAGGCCCATTTTACTTCAAGGCTTGAGTATAAGGATCATCATCTTGCCCCCAAATTACCCCCTGAGTAATCCCCCTTCACACATACGAGACAGCCGGTTTGATGATCTACTTTAACATCAGTAACACAGTGCTCTAGATTAGACCAGTCCCAATCAATAGATTTCTAGAGATTATTCAACGGATACTTGGTCAACATTAACATATTAAGAAAGGGGACCACCAGATTAAGCAGATTCTGAGGAATCATCATCTCAATAAACCATCCTCATTTTGTTGTTGACAGCTCACTAGTGAATGTCAGAGGCTACCTGAATTTCAGAAGGCATAGGAAAAAGCTGCTCAAGACCTCTTCGTGACCAGAATGGAATAATGGGGGGCTGGGGGGAGGTAGGAGGACAGCACATAACAAGTCCGAATATGGCAGGGTTGAGTCTGACTGACTGGAGGGGCACACTTAACAGCATGAGGATTCATCAGCCAATGTTCACTTAGCTTCGCAGGGCCCACCTGTGACCATAAACTTACACACGTTCAAAATTTATCTTAGAAAAACTATCCAGGGGCACCTGGGTGGCTTAGTCGGTTAAGTGTCCAACTCTTGGTTTCGGCTCAGGTCATGATCTCACAGTTTGGGTGGGATTGAGCCCCAGGACTGGGCTCCACGCTGACAGCTGGGGGCCCACTTGGAATTCTCTCCCTCTCTCTCTCTCTCTCTCTCTCTCTCTCTCTCCGCCTTTTTCTGCCCCTCTTCCCGCATGTACGTGCTTGCTCTCTTTCTTTCTCGAAATAAACTTTAAAAAAAAAATTATCCAAAGAATATACTGCATTTCATGGATTCTAACTTTCTCAAATTCTTCACGTTGTAACATTTCTATAATTTTCAGCTTTGTCTTACAATCAAAGACATATTAGTATTGCCATGGTTTAATAAGGAAGCATTTCTTCTTAGAGGGATGTAAAATAACGGTGCATCAATGGTGCCTTAGATTTGATGAAGTATGGTATAAACACATACTTTTGTGGTGTGTGTAATACAAGCTCATTTGAGAAAATTTATGAAACACAGAAACAAAGGCAAAAACAAAGTAATCACTTCTAGTGATAATACCGTTACAAGTTTCAAGTACTCTTAGTATGTCATTACTATACACATTTATAAGGTATATATGTGTTTGCATATTGAAACATTTTAGATGGAGACTGCTATCATTTTACCCACGATCCCAAAGTGTAATGAACCATATCAACCTGCAGAGTTGTTTGATTTTTTTACCTAAACTGCAAACTGTACCAAGATTTCTCAAACACCACCTACCTGATACATATGAACTGTAAGGGAACCAAATGTTTTACACACCTAATAAAGTACAGAGTATTTGCCAGAGGTTTCAAAGTCTCTGGAAGGCAAAGACCACGTCTTAGCCATCTTAGCACTCGTAGTGCCTGACCCTGAGCCTTGGAACTCTGGAAGGACTGCACGAATGGCAAGGAATCCATTTAAGGTGCTGATGAGCAGACCATGAGACTTAGAACTTGGCTCACAACCTCGGCCTCCTGTCCCCTCACCTCAGTGTTCTTTGGCTCTTCAGCAAGTTCTGCAGGCCGAGAAGCCCTTCTTTCCTTTCCGACCAGTTGGAACTGGCACAGTGGTTGAGAACTTCTGCTACGTCCTCGGTCTGCCGCAGATAGTGGGGAATGCCGCCGTTCCTGGAGCCGTACGAGCGCTCAGAGCAAACGCTTGAGGCATCGCTGTTGGCATCGTCATCAGAATACATCCCGTACGGCTCATACCTCCTCCTCACCGGCTTCTTCTGTCAGGTCCAACGGAGGTGGGAGTGACGGAGGAAGAAATGGGAAGGCGAAATGACCGCGAGTCACGCCAAACAAAATCGGCAACAGTTAATGGTAAAAAGATACACGCACGCACACGGGCACGCAGGCACGCACACAAGCACTGCACTTTCCTGTGCTTACAGATTAGAGAAATGAAAACAGAAAAGCAGACGTCCAGTCGGGATAGGATAACAAGCAGAGCAATCCACAGCAGAGACGAAAAGAGTACGGTCTCTAGTCCGGTGTGTGGACTTTGCAGTAAGACAGACTTGGGTGGTCAGCCTGCAGCCGCTGACGGGCTGAGGAAGCCCGGAAAGCCTCCTAACCTTCCTGCTTCACTCTCCCCATCTTTGAAATAACAGTAACGATACCTCTCACACGTTTGTTGCGAGGATATAACGGAAGGATATGCTAACTAACCTGGGCCAGCCCCTGCCACACCGCAAGTAAGTGTGCCCACCAGCCCCTTTCACAATCAAAAACAATAGATCTTGAGCACGGTCAATGGGAAAATTTGTTTGAATATTCATGCTTCCTTAAGAAAGTCTAAAACTGAAATGGCAGAGCAGAGTAGCCCCTGTCAAAGGATTCTTAAATTATCTGAACACAAATAGGCTTCCTGTAGATCCTTCATTTGTTTCTCTTACCCTGAATATAAAACTGGAAGTTAAACCCATAAATAATATAGCAACAGCTAGTAAACTGATAAAATACAATTTTCCCTAAAAGAAAAAAAAAAGTTATTGGCCAAAACCATACAAATGTAATCTTTTTTCTTTTTCTCCCCCCAAATGTAATTTTCTAATTAACACGGCTTGTCCATCCATCACAACTTGCTCGGGACAGTTCTGTCTTATGCCTCTTGTCCCAGCATAGTTATGAATAGTCCCCCCTTTCACAATCATCCTTGTTAGGGTGGTAAATTACAAGATCATCTTATTTATGTATAAACTAGATCCATAAAATAAGAAAAATGTTGAATACATCCATCCATGAAATAAGAACATTAACAGTAGACACAAACTGGGTTAATAAAATAAAACACTGATAGGAGAAGGAGCAGAGCTTGACATAAAAAAACCAAAAACCAAAAACCAAAAATCAAAAACCAAAAAAAACCCAAAAAACAAAAAAGAACTAGAACAGATGAGAGAGGAGACTGATTCCATCGCTAACAACAGCTTCACTAGACTGGACAAATCATAATTCAGATCAGGATTTCTACATTATACTACACACTGTGTTGCTTTCACTAGCTCCTAAAGGAAATATACTTGCAACAGAAAAAAATGAAGTTGTAAAACAAAAGTTAAAGCACTGGTACCTTGCTCCTGGAGTCTCCTAACAGCTGTAGGCAGGAAAATATTGAAGGATGGGGAAAAAGCATAGAGAATTATGTCAGAAGCATATGTGGGGATTGTTCTTGCAACAAAAGTGTACAGCAAAACATATCTTAGCAAACCAAAAATACAGGTTAGCAAGCAATTCATATCAAGCGAATAATAACAAAGAACGCTTTCACAATGGCATCTCCTAGCCCTTCCTACACCTCCTAGAAACACCTTCTAGTACTTGCCATACTCCTTTGCTATGCTAAAAACTCCCCCCACCGCCGTGGTACATCTCTAAAGTCACTGTTAATTCTACCTATTCCCATGCTAGCTTCTGTCTGCCCTGGGGCTTCTATCCTGGGAAGCACATCTGTGTACCATTCCTGAGCTCTCTCTTCTGCAGCGGGTCACTCGGGGAGACCAGGCAGTTTGCACAAAGAGTAAATAAGGGCAGCCTGAGTGGGCTGACGGCTAGAGCTCACAGAAAAGCCCAAGCCAAGGAAAGCCCAAGCTCAAGTTCTCAAGTCCGACTCTGGCTCCTAGCACTTGGTGCACAGTCCCTTGCGCAGCTCTTTAAAGAGCGAGGGAGGGAACTCCCCCACCTTAACTGGAAGTCCCATTTAACTAAGGGTTTTGCACATCCATCATTCCCGACCTCCAAATAGGGTCCCTGAATAAGTAAGCGATTCCCAGTGCTGCAGCTTGGAAGGAAGAATCTCTTCCCAGAGTTCTGTTCCAGCTCATGACTCTGAAGTCAAAGCCATGGTTAAAGCAATTATCCTGAACTCCAGTACCTGCCAGGAAAAAAGCCCTTCTGCACAGAAGGCCGATGAATAGAGCTGGCCAGGCAGCCCCTGCTTACAGGAAAAGCATCGGGAGAGTGGCACACTGCTTGCTCACAGTCGCTTGTCAAAGCACTCTGACTGCGCAAGAATAAATGAGGGCGACACAGGAAGGGGTGAAAGCGAGAACCTGTGCAGCCAGGGGCTGTAACGGTTTGATCAGATGCAAAACACGGCTGGGTTTAAAACTTCTGGTTCTGAAACCAGATACTTTTTTCCCTTAGAAAGACAATGTATCTTAAAACAGCACAAGTAAGGCCAGAGATCAGACAGTTCTAAAGAAGATCTGCTTTAAATGCTGAGCACGTCAACTAGAATATGCTAGAGGCAGTGTCACTGCCAGTTGAAATGCATCTTTAGAAGGCAATCTGACCACAAGCTGATTCTACCAGGGAGTGTTTTGCTATAACCACAAACTGAAGGATCTCTAACTGCTTTATATTATTATTATTATTATATATTTTTAGAAACTACATTATACTGAGGCAAAAACATTCCACCAGCGCTTTATGTCCTCAGAGTCCATCGGCATTAACGTTTGGGAAAGTTCCCTTAACAAGGACTTAATGACTCATTTTAAAAGACGAAACAAATGTAAAATTGTATGGAACAACTAGTGTGGTCATCGAATAAGTGTGAGATTTTCAAACCACTCACACTGTTACCTACTATTATAATGATGTGTTTAGGCTATGCCATCAGAGCCTGTAAAGCAATAGAAGCCACAGAATGAAAAAAGGAAACGCTGAAGAAAAAAAAAAAAAAAAACATGGAGAAAAAAGGGAAAAAGAAGCAGCCCAATGACATCAAAACTTCCTTGACATTGAAGAGCACAGAAGAAATACTTGATGCTAGTGTTTTCTGTAAGGCCAATCTTCACTTCTGTACAGGGATCCAAGTTTCAAAAGAAAGAGATAATAATACAAGTTTACACGTTATTTACACAGGGTGTACACAATATTTACACAATTCACACAGTGCCGGGGATGCCTGAGGACGCTGATTTGGAGGCGATCTTCTGTGAGGAAAATGGCGGATGAGTAAGTCAGAGAGACTGCACGCGCCGTGACTCTTACCAAAGCATCAGCGACAGCAGCTTCAAGGTCCGTACTCGTGCTCAAAACCCGCATGGCATTCACAGAGCCAGGTATTCTTCCTGCCTGGCCAAGCCCAAACCGGTCTATTCAAAAAACAAAACCAAAGATATGTCACTTTAATTCACATTTTCTCAGTTGTTTGCAGGGGCTCCTGCCTCTTCCCACCTACTGGACAGAGGCACTGGAAAGTCTCTAGCCACACAGAACTACACTTCCCTTGCAGTCCTAACTAGACCTGACTTGTTCACCAGCGGCAGAGGTCAAGCTGTTCGCGCTGAATGCTATCGTGCCACAAAGCGTCCTGACAACTGAAATGGCTCTTTAATGATGTTTTGTTTTGTTAAAGTGTTGAGACTTGGGAGAGAGGGGAGCTTATTCTAGAAGTGAGCTGGGCGGTGGCATTGACTCTTTTGATCTATTTAGCATTCCCTCTGGAGGCAAGTGGCCCTTATGTTCGGGTCAAACTAATTAGGGAGCTTTGTGGTTTGACAAGTGAGTTCTAATGCAATGTGTAATAAGAAGTTAAAATTTGAAACTAATGTGTTCAATTGATCTCTGCAAATTTTCGTCAGTGCCACTACTGTTTAACTGTTCTTATTAACTGAGCTCAATTAATTTTGGGTACTTGTTCATGATGCCTGTGTCACCAAAGGTTATTTAAACTTCATTTTATTCAAAGTCTTCAATGATCATCAGAAAAAGCTAGTATCTCCACTGCAAACCATTAATCACTCAGATAACATTAGTATAAAATTTTCCTGAGTCTCTCAAAGGATTTGAATTTCAAATGATAGTCTTTATACATGTAAACAAAATGGATACAATCCAAGGAATTTAAAACAAATTCCAGCAGTTTAATTATTTTAAGTTCCATTATGTTAAGGATCATGGACAAAGAAGGCAAACTTTTTACAAGTCCCATTATGTCAGGTGAGCAGCCTTCCTTGAGAGGTGCTGAGCTTGGAGCTACATACAACAGGAGAAAAGTTCATATAAAAATCATACTTCCTACCTAAGTGTCTCACACCTATTTACTGGCAAACGTTTCTTATTTAAAACACTAACGTGTAAAAAAAAATCTTTGAAGAAAAATGTTAGATAAAAAAGTGCTTTCTTTTTATGAACAAATAAAACACTGTTTGGACTATATACAAACATATATATATATTCTCATAATGGAGCATTTAGGGGAAAAGGAAAGCTAAATCTGCTTTACATGAGTTGATCTTTCTTGTAAAGTGATATGTTTAAAACTCTGGATATGTAACGAGAGTTCTTTAGGAAACAAGAAGTTTCAAAGTGAGGTGTTCCTTAGCTCATTAAACATGTCAGTTTCAAAATTTTCACCTTCCAGCGCCACAGAAAGGGGAAAAAATTTAAACACTGCTAACCAAAACGTTATACACTCATGAATTTTTATAAAGAAACAAAAATTGTATGTTATACTATCCCCTTTTTTAATGTACTTGTTGGTCAGACTGCATGATGTCTTAAGTCATTATGTAAAAGATGATTAAATGTGCCATATAAGAGACCACAAAACAATAATATCTAGATGTCTCCCTGTGTGTGTGTGTGTGTGTGTGTGTGTGTGTGTGTGTGTGTGTATTATCAGTTGAAATATAAAACTCGTGTAAATTTGAAATTTGCTGTGCATATAGTTTTATACATCATCTTTGTTCTTTTTTCCATTAAAAAAGGGTAGATAGTAAGGGATTTATGAGTAACAAAATGAAAGTAATTCAGTTATAAGCCATTTAAAAATTACCCAGCATAAACTTAAATAAAACGGACTCTAAAACAATTAAAAAACAAAAAGTATATCACATGCCAGCAATTCCTGCTCCAGGGATAATACTGATATTTTGCTTTTAGACACAAAATTAAAGCTGTAAGAACAATGCAATTACTTTGTGCTTCCCAGATGCATCCAGCTCCGCCATACAGTGACTGCACGTCACTGGATAGATGTCACAGATCATTTGAATTTCAAATCTGAGGGGGAAATGCTTGTCTGGATTTGAGCAAGGTTACAAGCCTTTTGTTTTCACCAGACCACAATCTCTTCTACGCTCTCACTGCTCTTGTGTTATCATGAAGCTCCGTTCCCCGAGACGGATGCGTGTGCCTGTGCCCTCATCTTCTGGAGGGTGTACCCAACAGAGTGTAAGTAATAAAATGCACAGCCCGCTTCACTTCGAGGAAGAACAGAGAAAGTAACTCCGTGAACGGGTGACAGTTGTCACCATCAACAGTCTGTGACTTAATACATACTGCCGTGCTCAGGTGAGGAACTCTGACTCAGGTCAGTAGGGACTGTTAGCGTATAAAAAGCCAGCACACTTACATATTTCTGTATGCTTACTTTTTGCCCCAAATGGCTAACCAGGGGATTTTTGGTATCGTTAAAGCGGGCTGGGATGAAACATTTGGGGACCACAGGCTGCAAAGGCTACCTTCGGCCTGACCTGATTATCTGAATCGTGACCTTGTTTTTCCGTAAGTTTTAGGACAGTATTTATACCTGTGAAATTATGTATTCTGTGACTTGGGACGTCTGGTAACTAGATAGTTCCTCCAGATCACCAGAACCTGACACTAATGATTAACATCAGTAATCACCACTTTCTGGGAGCAAAGACTTTGGAAATGCAAGACTGTTGGATGACACCCATACCCTATTTCCCCAAAGGGACTTTTCATGATACCTATTTTGGGTGCTTGTTCTCCTGAGGGAGGGACTAAAAAGAGGGGGAAGAAGCCCTTCCCCGTGTTTCTGTTTTGTTTTCACATAAACATGAGCACTGGAGAGATGATGTTGTCAAACAGGCGATAAAGCATCTACGGCCTATTAACAGAACCATAAACATTCAACAACGGAAAAAAACCAAAGCACACTGGGGAAAACAAACATGAAGTGCATACATGCCAAGTGCTAGGCGACACTGACGGAAACAAATGCTAGAATGAGCGTGAGACGGGACGTATGAAGAAGCCGAATCATGCAGTTAGCACTTGTTCACCTGACTGCCCAACAGACTCAGCAGTGGAGAGGGCACTAGTGGACCTGGAATGACGTCGAGAGGCTGCAGGTAAAAGGAACGGCAACACCCACAGGATTAACACACGAGTACCCGACACAGAAAATGCCACAGTCTGAAGGAAACGCAGGGACTGCTCCCAACAAGGCCATGTTTTCTCATGAACGGAAATGGCGCTGGAGATGAATGGATAGCAAGTGCCGATCCCCAAGCTCCGCGGCAGCCTGCTGGCTCTCACACGGCTGTTACACACACAGGCACAACGAAGGCACTGTCTGCGGTGCCTAAGCTCAGACTCCACGTTTATATTCGCACCGCGAAGCCTCAGTCAGCCGTTATGGAAGTATGCAACATGAAGGACGTCAGGAGTCACAGTGCACCGTCTATACCCGGTGGAGCATCAGGAGAATGGATTATTTACTCAGCTCACAAGATGCCTCATCGGTACATGATGCATATGCGACCATGCACCAAACACAAAAGCATAAAGGTTCATAACGTTATTTGAACAGAAATGGAAGGAAGTCACAAGAGAGGGGGCTCAACAAATGAAATCCTGTGTTCCCCCAATTTTTGCTGTTTTTCTGCACAAAAATCCTAACGATTAACGAACTTGTCGTTTCACTGTTGGGAATTTAGTCGGAACGGGTTTAAGGAGCTTTCTTGGCGAGGCATTGGCAGTACCCTGGCTAACCGCGCACCAGCTCCGCACGACAGCCGGGGGCGAGTCCTGCTTTGGTCACAACCAGCGGGACGACCTTGGGCGAAGCTCTACATCTCTGTGTCTCAGCTTCCGCATCTGGAAATGTGCTAAAAAGGGTACGTACCTCTTGGGAGTAGAGACGGGTGTGAGAGATCTTATATAAGGCACTTAAGGCAGTGCCGGGCACTGAGTAAAATGGTGGTAGCGGTAGCAGTGGGGGCTGGTACGCTGCTGGTGCTGGCGGTGGCAGCGATGGTTACGAGTAAACTGCGACTTACATGTCTACGTTAAATATCACTTGATTAGCAGATATTCACGAGCGAATTAATTCAGCAATTGGAGGAATTACATGCTCAACTCCGTCTTCACATAGAGAGAATAACTCTCAGAAATGACGATGAAACTGACTTGGTTCGAATCACCAATTTCTGGAGCAGAGTGCCATGCAGTATATGGTTCCTTACCTCAGGGAAAAAACCCCAAGAGATAACACGCTTACACTCCTTACTCTGAAAGGAACCCGGTGGTTGCATCATGGGAAATTCCCAGGTTTGACAAACAAAGTACTACCCAGCAGTGCTACCACTTCTCACCTATGCTAACAGAGTGCAGTATCCTGTGCACGTGAACACTTCCGTCTCGTTGTAAAATACCAAAACCTCAAACTCTTTGACAGAATTTAAAAAAAAAAATTTTTTTTTAAAGTAATCTCCACACCCAACACAGGGATCAAACTCACGACCCCGAGATTGTGTCACATGCTCTACCGACTGAGCCAGCCAGGCGCCCCCATAATTTTATTTTTTTAAGCTCATGTCACTTGATGAAAATGCACGTATCTTCATAAGTGGTACGAGTGGTATCAAATAGCAAAAGCTACCTCGTGGATAAGGACAAATTTCTACCAGCTCACAAAAAGGGAATTTCTAATTCCTCAGGATGCACAAAAATAAATTGGCAATCTCTAAAACACATATAAAATAATCACTTTCCTTAAACAAACAAACTGGCAAAATACTTTTTAAGACTGAAGCATACCATTTACTGTGCAACATTAATCAGTGCCATATCCTGGTAGTTTAAACTGGAAATACCTTTTAAGCAACGCCTGAAGGTTGCTTAGAAAGTCGTCCTTTGGTTCTGTTTCAACAGGCTATTCTACAGTAAATCTGTCATGGAATGAATCCTTTGTTCTCAAGTGAACACCCAACAATGGAATCCGAGGTGGACCCTCTTACAATCAGAGCCTGATTTACAGCTGAACCCTTACTTTCATTTTGATATTGTCACTGTAACCACAGAAACATCCTTATTAAAATGGTCCAAGATAACTTTGTAACAAAAAAAAAAGCAAACTTAAAACCAGTATATAATCACCAAACTGTAATTATTTTCACACACACCCCCCCACCGACCTTTTTTGAAACAAAACCTGGCTATATAAACTGACCCAAAGGGGCACTAACACAAAAATCTCACTAATTTACAGAGAGGGTGGGAAACAATTATTAACGTGAATAAGAAGGAAACTTCATATTGTCTAAAGGGCACAGTGAGCTCCGCTGGACACCACCTTCAGGGACTGAGCTATGAATTCCCATGGCTTAACTCCAAGCCTGGAAATCGTAATGGAGAAACATTACCGGACACTTTCTCTGTGCTTAAGCCTGGAGAGAAAGTATTTAATACACTTCCGAGGAACAAATGAAAGACGCTAAATTATCAGAACTTTCAAATGAGGCAAGGGAGCAGCCAAGCTTTGAAGTCAGACTGGATTCAAAACCTAGCTCCACCATTTAGCTGTGTGACCTGGACAGCTGGCTTACTCTCCCTCAGTCTCTACTCTGTCATTCATAAAAAAGGGATAATGGTAACACCCGTCCCAGAGTGTGAACAGGTACCTGCTCAGATGGGGGGCCGTGCGCATGAGGACCGCTCTTGTTCTTGCTGGGTAAAAGTTTTACAGACAGATTTACCCCAAGGAGGAAAAGAGGGCATGCCTACAAACTCAGCTGACAAGATGTTAACTCTGCCCTGACCAACAGAAAGCACGTGCTGATGCTAGTTTGTTAGGAAAGGGAAACGCCTCATCCACATCTTCTGTCCTGGTAGGAGCGACTGCACATTTCACCCTTCTGGGTTGTCACCAAGACCCTTATGCAGATCAATTTCACCAAAGAAAGTGAAAACCAAACTGCATCACTCAAGTACTCAGGGTTCAATTAGGAACTCAAGAATTCAGCACACCTTGCCTGGTCCACTGACCACATCCTGGATTACAAAGGCTGCTTCCGTGGACAGTAACAAAAATACCAGTGCATATAGGAAAGAAAAACACGGAACTGCCTCTAAGAGACCCAATAACCAATAAGCAGATTGAATTGTTCACTTATAGAACAGGTTGTTTAGAAGGCCAAATAGTCAGCAAGGACGCAGAGATATACAGCCTTAACTTAAAAGGAAAAATCACCAGTTCATTCAGAAAAAAAATCATCACTGCTGCCCCTGATTTGTTGAGAATTCTGTTCTGCTGCTTCAGATTGCTGTGGAGTAGCTGGTGTGTTCAAGGTGAGTCGCTCCACTTGGGATCTCATGCTAATCAGGTAGACTATCTCACAAAGGCGTCTTCTCACTAAGTCAAGTGACCCATGTGGCCTGGCTTTAAGTTCATAAAGGACAACAGGTCATAAGGAAGTATTATTGCTACTGATGCGATAAAAGGATATTAGAAAGAAGTGTATGACATCAGGAGAAGAACGAGGCAAATATTAAGACTGTGTGCTTTTGATCTATCATCCAGCTTCTGGAGTGACATTTTTTATATTTGAAAGACCTAATGTCTAATGTTACATAATTAGAGTCAAAATAACAGACTGCTGCAGTCCACAATTCCATATAACAACGTCAGGCCTAGGCCTAATCTTATAATTTCCACCTGTCATGCTTATCAGGAGGAAAATATACAGCTTTACAGCAATTAATGTGGCGAAGAACTGAAACACAGTTACTGGATAATACAAAATGTTTTTTTTGCAAACGTATGTGCTCTTTCTAGAGGTCTTGGGGGATTAATAATTTGCACTAGGTAAAAATAGATGTCCATTTTAGACTACTGAGCCTGAAAAGAAAAGGCAAACACAGTATTTCATAAAGGAAATATGTTTCTCTTTTGTCTGTTTTTCTCGAATCCTAAAAACTGTGAAAATACAAATTCTGGCTGTAAGAGAGACGGAGCGTTGTGGACAAGCAGCCCCAAACTGGCACGTGGCTCGTGACCCGAGATAAGGTACTGACACCACCTTATGGCGACCAACTGTTGTAAATTCCTGCCCTGGGATGGCATCAGGTCACAGACATTGCATAGCCTATTGAGCCCAGGAAGAATGAAAATCTCTGATTAACAATAAACGTTGTAAAGTCGTACACTGTGCTGTACACATAAGCAGTTTATCAAAAAGCTACTGTGGGCTTGCTTTAAAGAAAGCACTGAAATGACTCGCTTAGCCAAGGCATGGCTAGTACCTTCTGCCACAAGGCTTTTTAGATTAATATTATCAGCCCTAAACTGAGCACATTTCATTTCCTAGACATTCTCATGATTTTAATTTTTTTCCGTCTTTGAACTGAATCACGTGTGTCCTGACCTTTGGTGAAATTAAACACAAACTGTCGAAATACAAGGACAGAGGATAAATTTTGGATTAACTCTACTGTTAAGAAGCAACTGACTTTGGCTGAGCGTCCCCTTAGGTTAGAAGTGACCATAAGACGGGCTTGCCTGTCTGCCAACCTGGATGCTGGCAGGTGGTCACAAATGGCAACAGTACAGAGTGAAGTGGTGTTTTTTTCCTCCCATATATAAAAACTGGAAACTGCCAAAATTCAAGCATGCAGAGGGGGGCAACAGAGGGTAAATAGGGAGGAGGAAAGAAAGAAGAAAGGACCACAAGGACAGGAGAGGAAGGACAGCAGGTCATTCCGCCTCGCAGTGTGTGGGACAAGCATTGGGAGCAGGGCAAGGAACTCTGCTCTGAGAGCCAGCGCCTACGTGTACTCACCGAGTGGAGGAAAGCCCCGAGCGGGGCTCGTATCGCGGCTGCTCTCACAGCTGGTATTGCGGCTGCACCCCTGACTCATGCTGGGTCGAGGGATACGGCTGCTCCGTGCTAGTGTGCAGCATGAGGGGTTTCAGAGAAGGTGAAGAAGTTTAATGAAGACAGAAAAACTCACAAAACGTCAGTTACATTCCGTTAACGTAATCATGACATTGCCCGCGCCGGGGGTTCGTCGTTGAGGACTCTCCCCGCTGAGGCCTCACTGACTCGCGTGCTGACAACAGGAGAGGGTCTGTGTAAAAACTCGATTATGCTCAATGCTTCGGAAAGCTGTGGGGTTTTTAATGGAGGTGAAATAACACCTAAATGTAAGAAATGAAAAGAAAGCTTTCCAAAGAACAATCAGGAAATACAAGGTCAAAAGCGTTTCAGAAAATGATCATTTTTTACAGCTTTAGCCAACTTCTCATCAAGATGATAAAAGACTAAAGCCATTTTCATATACGCTCTGTTGTTAGAAAGATAATTTACTTTGGGTTAAAAAGCAGAATAAAGGCTCTGGTCACTGAAATACATGAACTTACCTAATTAAAAGGAAGGGGGCTCATCTTTCTAGCCTGGGCTTCTTTACAAAGAGAAGTCCTAAGGACTGACTCAGCTGGAGAACCTGCCCACTCCAAGTAAGTATCTAGATGCTTCCAACATACTTAATTATCTAAACCAGCATAAACAAAGGGTTGGGATTGCTATCCCTTTATTTACTGGTCCCAACATTTAATCTCTGCTTTTTCTATGGGAACCCAAACAGGTTTGCCTGTGGTCCCCTACTCAAGCACTCTTATCCGGCACGCCTTACACATGAGTCGACAGCATGTGAACTACAATCCCAATATTCGTGCTAAAAGATCCCCCCACTGACCTAAGAACAGCCAATTACTGTATGATTATCCACGGATAACTTTATTATACTCATTCGTTATACTGCAATAAAATCATCTGTGGATAATGGATTAACAAGGACTGTATTGTCACGTTATAAAATGCTGAGAAGACAGAGTCACATGAATAACTGAAGGTCTAACATAACTGGGCGGTAAAGCTCAGAGAAGACCATGATGTTTTTGGTTTTTAATTTAACTTGAGGAACAAAGACACAACTGGCAAAATACTCAGAAATGATCCTGCTTACTGAATGTGGGGACAATAAATCTGTCCATCTTGAGTGGGTCTACAATTCTGGGCTGGACAGAAATGTCTTCCCGAAAACTTTGGAAAAAATAAACTTGATTCACTGATGTAAAAGCAGCCATGTTTATTACATCGTAATGAGGATGGCCTATGATTTCAGAGCCAAGGTGGATTTACTACATGAGCAAACTGGAACAAGAACGTCTTACAAACCAGAATCATTAAATTCCTTGACAAAGGAGAACACGGAAGTGAGAAACCAAACCAGCTCCCCACTGTGGTCTCTGTTCAGTGCTAGAGTTGAACCAGACCCTACAGTTATGTGACAGATGGCCCAACGCTTGGTCTGCACTGGCAAGCAAGGAAAAACTCAAGCGCAGGAGTGCAATCTGAGCAAATCCGTCAAGACGGGCCTCATGTGGGACTCGCCAGTGCTTCCTACATTCTCCTTCATTTTGCCACAGTGACGTGGAGGCACTCAAAGTAGCAGTGACTATTTGATCAACAGATTCTTCCTGATAGTTCTAAACCAGCTCATGGCACATGGCCTGAATGTTAAAAGCCTCAAAAAACGAGGGAGCACCCACTGATACCAACACATGGGAAGTCGCCTAGAACCTATGAAGAAATGTTGCTTATCCCTAAGAGGATCAATACCACATCCAATTTGTGAAATGACCTCCCTGGTCCAGCCACTTTGCCTCTCCTGTCTCAGCCGCCCCCCCTAGGAATGGTGAAGAAAGAACCCAATCAATTAAATGAGAAGGGTACTGTGACATAAGGTACCTACATGAGCACCTCCGAGTTCCTTGCTGAAAGGCATCGAAAATCTTATCTTATTCCACCACCCACTCCAAAACAAATAATCAAAAACAATAAAAACAGTCCTGATGGTGTTTCACACATGCACACACTTAAGTTGAGCATTTTCTTATGGTTCTTGACTGATTACTTGTTACTCTGCTTCCACTCCCTTCCTTCAATTAATGCACATGTTAGAACAATGGGAAATCCCTGCTCTCTCCCAGGCTGAGCCTGCTTTGGGAAGGCAAAAAAGATCATGAAAAGGGATAAGCAGACATGCTCAGAAACAATAATCTGCATAATTCTTAACAAGGTTTACCCTCTTACTATTTCAGCCAGAGAAAGTTAAGTCACCCATTCGTGCTGACTGGCTTCTTCAACATAGGCCAGTAGTAACATATACAGAAAGAATTCTGTTTACAATTTTCTAAACATCTGCCCACAGTTGCCCCATGCGTCATTAACGAGTATCAGTGATGACAGCAATAGTTCAAATGCTGGGTAATTTAAAACACGAGAGGAGTAACGCCTACTTCTAATACCATTTCCAAAGACCACTCTACCCGGAGGATTTTAAGAAGTATATCCATAAATGATTTTTATAAAGCCAATTAACTAGGTGGTCAAAGCTAAAAAACAACATACCAAATTAACCTCATTAGGGAGTGCCAAAACTGTTCTCTGGGAGAATATGTGATGTGAAGGCATAACAGAAGAGGGAGAGATGATGAAGAGACGCTTGCTGTGTGACTTTCTGGAAGCAGTATTCTTAGGTGGTTCTGTGGTGCTGTGCTTACAGGAAAGGCCAGGAAGCCTTGAAAACCCATTTGATGGGCTTTCATTTCTTAAGAGACACTATACTTCTGTACAGTTTTCAGGGAATCCTGACTTCTGCCCTTTAAGGCAGAGATGAGTCCTACCAGAACTCCCATCAAAAGCAAAAGTCCAAGAGGAATAATGAGAACTACCCTGAAGTACGTCTATAGTCTGTTATTTTCATGTTTTGGTCTTGCACACAGGAGTCTAACTTAACAGGGGACACTGACACCTGTAAATTTTTGTTTTCAAAATATTTTTAACCAGAAAATCTGAAAACATTTTAAATGTATATCCACAGGATGTAAGCTACCAACAATCAAAAGTTTTTATTGCCTTCTCAAGACATGAGTGGAAGGAAACTAAGCTTCCAAAATATAATTGCTATAGATATTACCTATTTGTACGACTTTATTATTAAAAAAATTTTTTTAACGTTTATTTATTTTTGAGACAATGCGAGAGACAGAGTACAAGCAGCGGAGGGGCAGACAGAGGGACACACAGAATCTGAAGCAGGTTCCAGGCTCTGAGCTGTCAGCACAGAGCCCGACATGGGGCTCAAGCTCACGAACTGTGAGATCATGACCTGCGCCGAAGTCGGACGCTTAACCGAATGAGCCACTCAGGCACTCCATTGTACAACTTTATTATCCATCAAAAACGGAGTAAAACTCCAAAATGAAACAATTTATAATCTATTCTATTTGGCTGAACAGTTTGTGAAGGAATAAATTGCCAAGAAAAAAGAGAGCAGCAGGGTTTTATTCTGTTTCTTGGTTATATAACAGGAATTACATCCTGTTTTGCTTAAGAAACCTTACATGCTGAAGAAGAAGATATTTGGTGTCATTTTTACCACAGATGAAGCATAGCTGAACCAAACGTAATTTGTAGATAATTTGTAGAATTAATTCTCAGTGCAAATTCCAAGCCTAGTTTAGCAATGATTAAAAATACTAGTTGGTTTGGGCACAAAAGGAAATACTCTTAAAAGATGCTTACCCTTTTTCTCTAAGTATTTCTATTTAAAGTTGCTATACAATGAACCAAATGTTTATAGACACATAGGCATACACCCACTACTGACTAAATGATCACAACAGTGGACAATCTACTGCTAAAGATACTAATATATGCGACACCGTATAAAATGGAATCTCTCAGCAGTACTATAGGAAGAAGTGGAAAGATTTACTCATTTATCTCCCTTTGTATCTATGTATGTTCTCACCATGTACAGAAATTTAAATAAAATACCTTTTCAAGTCAGAATGACATATATGACCTCTAAGCTTTACACATAACTACTCCCCCTTAATGGGCATCAAGGTGAGAACTTTCTTCAAAATATTGTTTCAAAAAAGAACTCTTCAGAAGAAAATAGGTTCCTATTCAGTTTTTACTAATGGATGATGTTTCACAGTACCTCTTGTAAATGCTTATTAAGTGTTGTCTTTTCAACTATCCATAACACAAAATTCATAGTTAAAACCATGAAATACCAGGTCCTAGAGTTATGTCAGACAACCTAGGGTGGCTTCTTTCCCAATTTCAGGAAGAAGGTAAAAATGGCACCTTTAATAATATGAAAAGTAAAATCCCGAAAAAGCAAAGAATTTTTAAAAGGATGAAACTACTCTGGATTGCCAAGAGACATTCTATACATTTAATTAACTACTGAAAAAGGACAGCCAAAACCTCACCACCAGGTATGAAATCAAATGCATTTTCCAAACAAAACTAGATCCAAACATACATGTTACAGCCTCAAATCTGAAATTTAGACATTCCAGTCATGATATTTTCTCTGGTTGTATCCATGTAACTTGTAATCACTGGATCCAAATAATCTGTCAGCTCAGGGACCATGCTATGTAACACCCAACAGAAAGCTGAGATCATGTACAATTAACAAAACCACTGCTTGAATACGTTTCAAATTTGCTTTGGAAATGTTAGTCAAACCAACTCCTACCCATTCCACTTCTTAAATATGTGGCCCTGCCTTCTTGTAGCTCAGGCGGCCTGTAAGGACTTTCATGAGCTGGACCCTCCCAGCCCACCTGCCCTCCTCTTGCACTCACCCTGACCAACTCCCTTTGCTGTAGCCAAATGAACGACCTGTGCCTCTCACAGCCCATTATGCTCCCTCCCATCTCACTGTTCCGGCACACGCTCCTGTCTGCCCTAGAACACCCTTCTCCTCATCTCTGTCCCCCGCCTAATCTTACCTTACTCACCATCAAAATGACCTATTCTGGGAAGCCTCTCCTAGCAGGCAATCTGGGAGAAGTGGGGCAGACAAGGGCACTCCGTTTCTGTGGTCCCAGAGCAGGGCAGACAAGACACTCCATTTCTGTGGCCCCAGAGCACTATGTCACAGTATCTACTGTACTGTCTCTCACGTTTCCACCCTTAGGACCACAAGTTCTTCGAAGTCAGAAGCTACATCTATTTTATCTTCTGATCCTAAGGTGTAATAAAGTGCCTGGTGCATCACAGGAAACGTTCACGTGAAAGTTGCTGATGAGATAAATAAATGAGAACAAGAAGCCGACAGGACTTAAGAATACAGCAGTACTCTGATTTCACATTAATAGATTTTTATCCTTAGAAAGCAGGTAGAAATATAAGAAAGAGTATAAACATAAATTTCTCATAATATATTACAAAAGACTTCTTAGTACTAAATAGGTGGTGTATAATTTAGATTTGAATAGAATAACAGGTCTCTAAGCTGCTGAGAGTAATTCACGTAATTCTACTCATTGTCACAGAGAAACTAAATACTGTAACACGAAAGTATCATATATTTGACTTTAATTTATTCCTAGGTTTCATGTTCGAACAATACTATGTCAAAAGTAACTACTCATGTTCTTTTGACCATAAGTTCCACCTAACAGGTTAGAGAAGATCAAAATCAAAATAAATGTGGACCCTACAAATTGCTTTTGAAAACATACACAGATTAATGGAGACTTAGTGCTAATCCATGAAAAAAAGGATGAAAAGCAACAATGCTGCTGTGAAGAGAACAATCCTGCCCACTCCCCCAGTTCTAACATTCTGTGAGAGCTCTCAGGTACAAAAGCCCAGAGGGATGTAATTCTTTCCCGTCAATCTGAATGGTGAGGCCCATGTATTTTTTTAGTTGTAACTCAAACCTGAACAGGCCATAATCTGTAAAAAGTGCAAATCAGAATGTCTTTTTAACACAGGCAAAGTGACACCCCCAGTTCAAAAGTAAATCTCTACTTCCAACATTAGACAAAGCCATTAGATTATAATAAAAATTACCACCAAGTTAGGAATGGTATTTCAAGGTCTTTGAGGATCCTTACCTAATCCTATCCGGTTTGGACTGGTTTCTCGGCTACATCCCTGACTCCTGGGGATCTTGCTTCGCTTCTCTGAAGAGGGAGTCACAGGCGGGCCTCTTGAGGAACCCCCGGCAAGGCCACCATAACTACTTCCCAACAATTTTCCTGGGGAACTTGACCGGCTGCCAGCTAAAAATGAAACAAAACAAAACTGAAAAATGGATGTAAATCAGGGAATACAACTATAATATTACAATTTCAGAAGTCAGCTTACACATTAATTTGGATCAAATACTAAGAATTTCATATAAAAATGGCTTTCTTGTGGGTAGTAGTACTGATTTTTTTTTTTTTTTTTTTTTAAATACAGGAGCGTAAAAGAGCTTCAAATAACATAAGAGAATGTATCCACAAAGAAGAATTACTGGCGGAGTTCTACGAAAATGACAGCAAGATTTCTGATTCAAAACAGTGGACTAAGTATAAACAGCTCCCTGTTCCACAGCAAATTTCTACAAACAATCACAAAGGTGTTTACTGTTTTGCTTTTTTATTCTGTAAGAGTTGATATGCTGAAAATTTTAAGTATAATTGCGAGAATTACAATAGAAACTTCCTAAACATTAATGGAAGAAAACAGACCCAAGAACACCCCACTAACTTAATAAATGGAAGAAAAGAGGGCATGAAGAAGAGGCAACTAAAAAAAAATAATAAATAAAAATCACAAATAAAATGGTACGAATAAACTCAAGCATGTCACTAATCATAATAAATGTGGCTGGACTAAATTAATCTCTTAAAATAACAGCGATTCTTGGATTGGTTTAAAAAATAAAATGAAATTCAACTACATACTGTTAGTAAGAAAGAAACAACATACCTAACACAAAACAACAAAACAGAGTAAGACAGCATTAAAAAAGGACAAAGGATATTTCATATTGATAAAAGAATAACTGTCCATAAAGATATAATTGTCATAAACCCTTATGTTCCAAATAACATAGCTTTGAAATATAAAACATAAAACTGATAAAAATATAGGGAGAAATTAAGAAGACCATGATTATTAATGTACCTCTAAGAAAGATACTAACTACTGAACCTAGTAACTAATAAAAACCTTTAAAGGAACACAACCTGGAAATTAAACACACACACACTCCATCATTCAAATGAATCACTAAGGTGACAAATCATAAAATTAGGACTTTATAATGACTTAGCTACAATTTAAAGTGAAATTCATTATAGAAATCACCAGTACACATCACCATGAAGAACCTGTCTTAGGACTTCATAATCTTGCCCATAAACTTTGAGCACACAAATGAATTATTAAACTGTGTAAAAAGAGAAAAATCCATTTTAAACACTAGAATTTGAACATAACAGAAAAAAAAATGCAGAAAGATTAAGCTCATAATAGGGAGAGAAATTAACATTGTGCAAGGAACATGGGGTGAGGGAAAACACTAAAAAAAAAAAAGCAAGAAGAGAAACGGCTTACCACCAGCAGGATTAGCAGATCTGGATCCTTGATTATGAGAGCAGACCAAAGGACAGGCAAAAAGTGGATTAAAAGACAATAGCACAATACAGAAGGTCAGCATGCAACACAACACAAATGTCTTTGTTCACAAACACGTTAACAAATTAGCTATTTCTTCTACGTCTCTTTCCTTTTTGCCCACTTTTGTACTTATGTTGATTTTACTCATATCATACTCTATTGGCACTAACTTCAGGTCTGTCCATGTAACATTTAGGAACCTACATGTGTCAGGTGCAGGAGATGCAGAGAAGACAAGTGTCTTGCCCTCCAGAAGCACATCTATACTCTCTAGTTCTGAGCAACCGAGAGAAGTGACCGCATCCTACTCGTTTATGTGTTACTGCCGCCTTAAGTGGTGCTGCTTACTACCTAGGAAGTGCTCAATAAACTTCAATGAATTCAAAGAAACTGCTATTAACTAGTTTCACCTGAATGTCCTATGCCAAATCCTCAAATATTAAAACATTAATTTTCACATATTTAAGTCCTCAAATATTTAAAATATGCTTGTTAACTCTTAAGGGCCCTAAATCTAATGTTAACGAAATCTACTTAGTACTCTACTGGCACTATGAATGCTAAGTATACCTACATTTGTAAAACATATAAATATGCTCATATTTACTTCCTATTAAAATAACTGTTCAAAAAATACTTAATTTATATGACTAAGCTTGAGGTCCAGCCTTGATCATTTGCTGGTGTTGTCTCCCTTCCTAGGAGGGGAATTTGGTGAGTAAAATGAAACTGAAGACTTTTAAAGTGGAGCCCCAAGACAGAGTGCAGTATTTCTATAAGACTGAGGAACGGAAGCTCTAATCATCGAGACTATAGAAAATTCCTCTGCAAGAACGTCATCTTCACCACCTGCGAGGCAGAGGAGCCAGGCTAGGGGGCAGGAATCCCTGCAGAGGCCAATGGCAATAAATAGCAGACACCGAGAACTGTAAATAAAGTACTATCCAACCTCACTCCAAGAAAGGAAATAACACTTCACAGCTAAAGAACATTTTTTATTAAATTCAATCTTAATATACTATCTCAATATGGAGTCTTGAGTATCTTTTGTCAAGAAAAATTTCTCTGCAAGAAGACCTGACTCATGACCAGAGTATCAGATCCATCTGTGACTCCAGGCATCGCTAGGGTTCAAGAGAATAACCAGAGCCTGGATATTGTTCCCAAGGTAGAAGCTGCTGGGCCACAGCTGTACAATCCATGTCGTGTTGTACGTTGTGATACGCTAGACGCGTGGGCTTCTGCTTCAGACAATCCTGGCAGGAATGTATGACTGACATTCTACTTTTCTTTTCAGAAAGGAGATACGCTTGTTTAACACGAGGCCTGGAGTTACCAGAGGGACATGGGAGTATTCACAAGGAGCTGAGAAAGGCATTCTAAATACTAAGGAGAACCTAAGGTTTGGCCACAGATGGAATATTCTTGACACAAACCAGACAGCTCCTCGGGCCATGAAGGAAGCAGACACACATCTACTAGAGAGTGCTGTGCTGAGGGCCTGTGTGCAGCTCCCGGGGAAGGAGAGCCTTTCTCGGCCACACTCATCCTGCCCGGGAGAACTCGGACCCCCAGCACTACTCTACACACGCACAGAGGGAGTGGGAGACTCAAAAGCCAAGTGTGGCTGGGGAGTGAGACACCAGGGTGGTTCCTAAGAGCGATCTGAATACATTCCTTCCATCTACGGCTGCTTTCGTGGCTGATGCTAGCAAGCCAAGTGACTCGACACGTACAGACACGCAGTAACGGAAGCGAGGGTAGTTGGGCAAAGCGGGGCCTACGCTGGCAGGAAGAGAGGAGCAGGCTGCAAATGTTAGAACAGAGGGTTAAAGGGGACAGCTGTTAATGGATTTGCTTATTACCACTCGAAAGAGAACTCCACATTAAAATAATCCCCAGGTATTGCTCTTAAATTGTATCAGAGGGAGTCCTTATCGACAGTAAAATGGGTCATAGCCCAGATTTATCTCAATTTGAGATGCTTGAGGAAAGGCAGAGAAACCACATTTTAATCATTAATGCTTAATAATACAAAACTTAAATCACCTGGCAAGGAGACAAAAGTACACTTGAATACTCCATTTTGTGAGCTTACTCAACGAACATCAAGACTACTCACGGTATCTTACAGCCACACAGATGTGGTTTTCTCCTGAAGTACTGAAAATATTATAAATCTTTCAACTGTAGAGTGAGCTGATTGAACAAAACTGACACAACAGAGAGTACAAAATATACTTCTTACGCTGGGACTGTGAAACCACTTTGGCGCGACTGCGGCCTCGATTATCAGGTGTGGTGGCGACACTGGTGGCACTCCCGGAGCTCTGCCGTCTCGTGCGGATCCGACCTGGAGGATGTGCAGCAAAAACGGGGTTTCCATAATGTTTTCAATCAGTGTGACCTACTCAAGAACGCAACCCACACCACGAACAAGAGGCACCGACGGGGCCACCTACAGGGGGCGCGGGTCTTCCTCACGAGCGGTCCTCACCCATTGCCCTGTGTGCACGCCCGTGTATTTGACCGGCACCCAGAAGTTCTACAGATATGTTAGTTACTCCTGAGAGTAAGTCATGAACCCGGAAGGTGCTTCTGTTTTTGTTATTCTAGCATATTATATTTTCAGATGAGGAGATGACAGCTATTTGAGGATTTTCCCCCCAATTTTTTACACATGACATTTTCTAGTTTATCATCTACAAACCTGTCAAATTTCCAAAAGCAGAAAATATGAAAAGTCATCTTAAGAAAAATACTACAGAAAAAAGAATAAATGCAAACACACACACACGCCAAAAAAACCCTTAAAACTCAGCAAGCAACAAAAGCTACAGTACCCTGGAGAATAAATAGGTTTTGACAGGTAGCAATAAACTTCTATTTTAAAGCATGTATGCCAACAAGTTTCTAGGCTGCAAAGGATGAAGAAGGCAGAATCAGTATTAGGAGTACCTAGAGAAACAACCACCTAAAAATAACGCAATGTCATAGGCAGGTATGAAAAAAATTTGCTATTGTAAGTAAAGCAATCTGTTAACTCCCACTATTAAACCATGAAACCATAAAAACAAAAATGAATTCAAACCCTAAGACTTGAACAAGGTTCAAGAAGGGAGGGGAGGAGCAATAAAAGTACTAACTTAAGAAAAAAAAATTGAAACTAGAAGGAATCCATGGCTTTTAATGGCAGTTTAAGTAAAAACACACAAATTCTAGAAACTGTACTAACAGCTATTATATGGTATTATATTAAGAGCTGTATGTACGTGAACCCGGAATCCTCATAAGAACATATAATTATTCCCATTTTACAGATGAGGAAACTGAGAAATGGGGATTAATTAATTTGTCTAAGGTCACACCACTAGTTTAGCTACCTGTGTCTGCCTGGCCAACTGGCTGGCCAACCTGAGTGAGGAAGTAACCACACTGAATCAAGGTGGTCACCAAGGCAAAGTCAACATGAAAACCAACTGAATCTCACTTCCTATTTCAAATTTACTACAAAATATTTAGGTCACAAAAACATATTTTAAGTGAACATCCATACCCATTCAGCTTAAAACATATAAATCTTTGCTAGTGTCTCTGTACCCCCTACCTTCTTCCAACATTTGGTAACCTGATCCTAAACCTAGCATTCATCATCCTCTAGCATTTCTTTAAACTTTTAATACATTTAGTTGCATAACCAAGCAACAGATGGCATCATTTTATACATTAAAATGCTTTTAATTATATCATAAGGTATGTATGTTTCTAAAACTTACTGTTTCGCTTAACATTTTATTTGTGAGGTCACTTACGGAATTGATTCTTCTGTAGGAGGTACAGGAAAGATCCACTTTATTTTTTCCATATTACTAACCAGTGTCCAAATGAACTTTCTTACCCCCTTTCTTACTGACCTACAAAGCTGTCTTTGTCATTTACCAAGTACTTAAAATACATGTGTGGACTTGTTTCTCAATTCTCTAGTCTGTCCCGTTGATGTGCGTGTCTACACCAGTAAACATCACAATGTTAGTATTAGCTTTAAAAAAAAAAAATCTTGCTAATTGGCAGAGAAAATCAACCCACTTTTTCCTAAGGCCCTTTGCTCTCTTCCAAGTGCTTATAAAGATACAGGTTAAAATGGTCTCTGTTGAAATCTTAACTGGCATTATGTGGAATGCAAGGTTAATTTGGGGAGGAAAGGAGACAGCTTTATGATATTGATGTTTCTATGTTTTTTTTCCTTTACTTATTTCACTTTAAAGTCTTACTCAATTTTTACAGACTTATTCAAAGGTGCCTTATTTTGATGACACATAAATATGTTATTAAATTATATTTTCTAACTTCTTGACAAATATGAATTAATCTTTGTATTTTGATCTTAATTCTGGGAACCCTGCTAAACTTGTGTTAATTCTACTAGCTTGTACATAGATCATTTGGGGTTATCTAAATAGAACACCATCTACAAATAAGACTTCAGTTTTTTTCCCTTAAAACTCTACCCCTTCATTTCTCTGCCTTTATCCTGCTGTCTTAGGACATGTAGTCCACGCCCACATGGGTAGGATTTGTTCCTTTAAGCCACATTAAAAAAAAAAAAATCTGGAATTTCACAAAAAGTATGGTATTTCAACATGCTAAGAAAACTTCTTTCTATTCCTAATTGCTAAGAATTTGCCAAAATGTTTTTTTTTTTTTGATGCTTTCCCTGCATCGTCTGAGATAAAAGGATTCTCCTAAATGTGCTGAGCTCCATCAGCAAGTTTCTAAGCTCTGAAACCTGAGCTAAACCCCCACACTCACGATGTACACACTCACATACACAAGATGTCTTGACTGTACCTTCTCTGGTTTATTACTAAAGGCTGCATTAAATGAGTGAAGAAGTATTCCCACTTTTTCTTCTCAGAATTTAGGGAAGACTGTGATTCTCCAATGCCTCATACAATTTGCATTTCTTTATCCTGTCAAGTGAATGTTTAATTCCTATTTCATTAACTTGCACTCTTATCTTTATTATTTCCTTCCTACTCTCCTTTGGGTTTATTCTGTTCTTTTTCTAACAAATTGGAAAGAAACTCCTAAATCACTCTCTTCGAATATAACCTTAAGGCTATGAATATTCCTCCAAGTACTGCTTTTGCTTCATTCCGTAAGGACTGATATAGTTCAACATCATATGTTGCTTTAAAAAAAACACATTACTAGATCTTATTTGCTAATGCTTTGCTTTGGAAAAATAAGTTGAATCCATATTTCACATTCACTCTTTACACTAAGAAAAACAGCAAATGAACCTAAGATTAGAATGTAAAACATGAAACCATAAAAGTTCTAAAAGAAAACATGGGAGAAATCCTTTGTAATTTGCAGTGGAAAAGTCCATTCTAGCTATGAAAGCCATTAGAATCAAAGATAGGTAAATCTGACTACTTATTTTGTAAAACCTCAACATGACAAGAAGAAAATGATGAGCAAGTTAAATTGGGAAAAATTATTTGCAATTCATATTACAAAGGGTTAATTCCTTTAACATATAAAAAGTTGTAAGAAGTCCACCAACCAGTAGTGTGCTGGTAAATGTGTAACAATTGGCTGTGGGAGAGGATTCCTCACTGATTTGTGTTTTCCAATTTCCCTGGTGTCAATATTCCCAGGCCAAGTTCAGGCTACTGACATGAAATCAACCAGATTACAAAATGCCTGAAAATTTAACAATTAGCTGTCATGAACTAGTTCAAGACAGCTCCAGCACACCACTGGCACAACCCAATATAGAATGGACAAAGTCTAGGAACAGACAGTTAACAGGCAATAGAAATGGCTCTTAAGTGTATGAAATATTGTTCAGGCTCACTCGTAAGAAAACAAAATTAAAATGACACTGAGAATGCCATTTATCACCTATCAGACTGGCAAAAATCTAAGAATATGCCAATATTCTGGTGTGTAAAAATAGAGGCACTCTCCTTCATTGAGGAGTGGAAATTAATGTGGCCCCTACAGAAAACTACTTGGCAATATCTATCACAATTACAAATGCATGTGCTTCCTAATCCAGTAATTCCACTTTTGGCAAATAATCCTATCAAATATGCTTGCAAACATGCAAACGGATGTATATAAAAGTTTATTCATGGCAATGTTACTTGTAATAGCAGAAGTCTGGAGGTAACTCCAATGTCGGTCAATAGGGAACTGGCTGGTTAAGGTAATAGCAGAATGCAGTACAGTGGTAATCAAGAATGACGAGGTCCTCTCTAATACGGAAAGGCCTCTCTAATATGAAGATACATAAGTGAAAATGCAGAATAGTAAATATGCTACCTTTCTTGTTTTAAAAGGAGAAAATACGATTTTTGTATTGCTTCTATATGCAAAGAAACTCAACAAAAATGAAACTACAAGTTGTAAGACTAGGGTTGAAGGGAAAGACATGATAACTAGGCAAATGAAAGGATGGGAGGGAGACTTTTAACTGTTTACCTCTTCCTATTTTCTGAGTTTTGAACCACATAAATGTATTACCTATTAGAAATTTATATTTTTACATATCGCTCACTCCAAAGGAGAATTTGCAAATGTTTTCTTTATATATTTGTAGGCTATTTTTATTAGGCCCATAAAAACAGGATAATTACATCTTTCCCACTTACTCATTTTTTATTACATAGCAATCCACCTTTGTAAAGGTTTTGCTTTATTTTCTGTTTGTTATTAATAGATCTTCAACAGCTTTCTTTTACGTATTTCTTATTCTTGTCTTTTACTCTATCTGCAGCCTTGTATTTTAGATTTGTCCCTTTAATTATCACATAGCTGGATCTTTAAAAACAATCAAGTTGGGACGCCTGGGTGGCTCAGTCGGTTAAGCATCTGACTTCAGCTCATGTCATGATCTTGTGGTCCGTGAGTTCGAGCCCCGCGTCAGGCTCTGTGCTGAAAGCTCAGAGCCTGGAGCCTGCTTCGGATTCTGTGTCTCCCTCTCTGTCTGCCCCTCCCCTGATCATGATCTGTCTCTCTCTCTCTTAAAAATAAATAAACATTAAAAAAATTTTTTTTCAAGTGAACAAAATAAAAAAAATCCAGCCTGGGGTGCCTGGGTGGCTCAGTCAGTTAAGCGGCTGACTTTGGTTCAGGTCATGATCTCACAGTTTGTGCGTTTGAGCCCTGCATCAGGCTCTCTGCTGTCAGTGCTGAGCCCACTTCAGATCCTGTCCCCATTTCTCTCTGCCCCTCCCCTGTCTGCACACACACTCTCTCTCAAAAATAAACATTTAAAACAACAACAACAACAACAACAACAACAACAACAACAATAACTGAGTCTAACAAACCTTCTATTTT